CCACCAAATTCGAATCAGTTCATTCTTGAGTCCAAGTATACGTTTGTGTCAAATTTGAGGAAACTCCGGGCCTTCCGTATTATTGCATTTACGAAATGAGAAAGACAAAGGTCACAGTGACCTTTGACCAAAAACTTCTAATCAGTTCATTGTTGAGTCCATGTGGACGTTTGTGCCATATTTGAAGACATCCAATAAGGCATTCTTTCCAAAATAGGACAGACGGACAACCCGAAAGCATATTGCCTCCTGCCAAGGCTATCGCTGGCACGGAGGCATAAAAATGCCCTGCCTGCATTCAGATCAAAGATATGATACTACCTGGTACATGATATTTTAACCATTTCCATTCCAAATTCATATCACAGTCCAGATAAAAAAAATAGTAATGACTCTATTTAATGTAGCTGTTAGTTTTAAGGCTAAATTCTTGTGGTGAGCAAAATATATCAGTCATTTCAACATATGATGTGCATACATACAATATATCTCTCCAGATTCTTGACTTAACTTATTGGTTGCAACTCAGCATAATTTTCATTACTGTTTAACTTATAGATTATTGTTAAATAAATTTGTTCTTTATTCTGTTGTGTCACGTGGTTGACACAACATTTGTTATTTCTGAATTTTGACTTTGGTAATGATGTTGATTTTCTCTCAAGAACAGTCAAAAAAAAAAAAAAAAAAAAAAAAAAAAATCAAAACGAATTCAATTTACCAAAATATGAGACATAAAAAAGCAGTCACATCTTCACTTTTTCATTAAAATTCGGTATTTACTTGATAAATTACTTAATGTCTGCAGCATTATCACAGATTAATTTATTGCATAATCGACTGCTGCCCTACTCTCATCAGCACTGATCAGGTAATGTAATATATTCAGCTTTTCATTAATATCTGTCTGTTTTCTGCCGTTTGACTGATGTGCACCTCATTTACTGTTGTCTTGCTGCAGTTGATCTTGTGAACGGAGGTTTCCTGTAGTGTGAGTTATTCTAACTGCTGTGGGAATAAGATCAATGAGACTTTACTAAGTGAGCCACCAGGACGATCTATAAAGCTCTTTGAGGAGAAAACAAGCAAGTGAAAAAACAACTTGAATCCTCTCTGTGGACGATGCTGTGAGGGAACTGTAGCTACACCAGGAAGAACAAAATACGGTGTCATTTTCACAACACATATTAAAACCAGAAACATCACTCTACCTTGAGGTTGCTGCTGGGCAGGATGGCCATCCCCTCCTTCCACTCCAGGACATGGACGATGCTACAAGCCCCACCCACTTGTGCTGTCAGGGTGGGTGTGGCTGTCTCATTGGCCCTGCCTGCTTTACCTGGGTCTCCCACAGCAACAGCTGGAGTCACCTCCAGCTTCTGATGGCCTGTAGCAGGAGCTGAGGAGGGAGACGCATTTAAATTTATCAACTTTCTGTCTCAGGTTGCCCAAGAGAGCACAATCTCTTACCACATCATGTTTTACAGGCATTAAATAACTGCATCAGGGAAGGCTGTGATTTTATAAGATGTGCTCTCTTTTATTATCTTAATAACTTATGCTGCTTCCTGCCTATTCTTACTGTAGTTTCTTCTTTCTAGTGTGTATTTTTAATGGTGTGTTGTGATACATGTTTTTACCTTTGCTGTATATGAGATAAGCCAAAGACAAATTTCCACTGAGGTGGACAATAAAGTCTATCTATCTATCTATCTATCTATCTATCTATCTATGGTCTTAAAAAAAAAGAAGCAAATTAACCCTTATGGTACAAAAAACCCGAGCTGTACTAGATTAATTTGTTATCCTGTGTTACTAGAGACCAGTATTTCTTCAGATACCCATTAGTAATAACAATAATTTAAAAGAATTCTTCACAGATTTAGAATTGCACATAAAATTTTATCACAATACTTAAGTAACGATACAATATTATTTGCTTTTTTTTCAGCCTGTTCATTTCACTTTAGCCTTTTTTTCTCAGCAAAATGTATCTTGTGGAATGAAAAAGCAATTGATCATTTTATTCTGGTAAGCCACCTCAAGTTTAATGTGTATTTGTAATATTAATAATTTATATAATAAAAAAATTAATACATGGCACTGTGTGACAATACGTTATTGCCACAAAAAAATATCGCAATACTATGCCCTATCGATTTTTTTCCTCCACACCAAGTACCAACCAAGTTGCCGGAATAAATGTTGGCATTGTTCATTTGTATGTTTCTGCAAACCACAAATATGTAACATTTGTACGTTGAATACATTAAATTTGTACATTCCATATGTAGCAGACATGTTGTGTTCCTTCACATTTCAATTTTTAATTTCTGTGTTGTGATAATGCTGTGGTTAGCTTGTGGTTAGGTTTAGGCATTGCTTGGCAGTTGTGTTGCCATCCACCATCACATGTACACTAGCATCTGAACCAGAACTTAGAAATTTTGATATCATACATATGAAACATACAAATGTGACAAATACACATGGTCTGAGGAAATGTATGATGCCAACATTTTACTCTGGTCAGTGGGCTGCTGGTCTGCTCACTTCTTTCTATCACCATACCAGATGCTGACCCACATAACCTCACGTAAGGACTCAGCTCCCTCTGGAGCCACAAAAGGCTTCATACATCTTTTTTCACACATGCAGTTGCACCCCAAAGACCAGGGGACAGACTCTGAGGTGTAAAATCAGTGGAGTTCCCCTTTAAGCTTTCAGCTTAAGACTTTATTGCCATGTTAATTAAGAAAACAGTCAACAGTCAGTTTGTTTCAGTAGATACCCAGAAAAACATAATTATCATTACATCTACACCCCAGTTTCCCCTCTGGGGTTCATTATTATCAATATTATCTTATCTTCCATCGGAATACTTACTCAGAGCCAAGAGAACAATCCCGCGCAAGCATCACATTTCGAAGGTGGTACACACATACTGTATTCTCACATCAATAAATCACTAATGTAAATATCTAGATATAGAGTTAGAGTTCAGCTACCGCCACTTCAATGTTTGCACTCACTTTTGAATGTTAAAGGAGGTCAGAGGTCAGGGTTCATATATAGACTTGTTGAGACTGTAGCCTGTACTTACACCACCATGTTAAAGGATAGTCTCTGTAAAGCCATGTGACCACACTGTCACCCTCAGACCTGTGCTCACCTGGTAGGAGGAAAGCCGTGGTGGTGTGGGTTTGGGGCCGAGGCTTCTTGGCCACACTTTCAGTCCCACAGATGAGGACGGCCTCGCTGGGGGATGACGAGGAGGACGGGTCTAAAGGGGTGCTTTCGGGTTCTTTGGGTGGAGCCTCCATGTTCACTTTGGCACTCATAACAGCGTCTCTGTCCCTTACTCCGGAGCGCTGGAGAATAAAGAGTATAAGGAACGGGATGCTCTCTGGTACCAAGGACTGACAAGGTAACAGATTTGTAGCACTAACGGTAGAAAGTTATTTTTTTTTTGGTAGAGTTTTCCTTATCTGAATAGAGGGTGTATGGACAGAGGGTACCGTGTTGTAAATCCATTTCACATGTAGAGGCCTTTTGGCCTACACAAGTAAACTGACTTGGCTAAAAAGTTATGGGACCTCTGCCCTGCAGTCCTTTGATGGTTTTTACAGGGATTTGATTTATCTCAGTATTTTTCTTGTTCTTTCATCAGTAATTATAGTTGTATTGATACAATGCACATCCATAAAAAGAGACCTAACAAACAATATAAGATAGGCAAAGAGCTGAGCCCACTTAAGTGGATTTCTGAACAAATACAATTATATGACCACTATTTCTAGATTATATGACTATAAAACATCTGCTGCTCATCACTTTTTCTCTCTCTCTTTTCTCTCTCTCTTTATACCTTGTGCCTTAATTCTTCCTTAAAATGTCTTAAATTTGGGTTAAAATGTAATCTAAAACTACAAGGAAAAAAAACTTTTATTCATGATTATGCCCATTAAAAAAAGATTAAATGAGTAACTTTTGAGGGTACCATTTACAGAATGATGGCAGAGCCATCCTCTATCAAAAGCCCTGACCCCGTGTGACTTTTAACAGCCATCCATTACTCCATATAAAAAAGGCAATAATGGTGACACACACTCACACACACATACATACATATTTACGCACAAGCGTCCAAGTCAGCACACACTAAAAAAAATACATTTCAGTTAAAATGGCGGAGGCAAAAGAAAAAAATCCTTGAGGCAAAAAAACATATAAAAGCAGTGTTTCAAATCCTGTGAAAATCCCATTTAGTGAAAAATGAACCCGGTCTCCCATTCCGACAGCATCTCAAATGAATGAGCAACATTTTCACCTCACAACAACGTTAAGCGTGTTAGATATTCCAGTAACATCGGCGCGGCTGCTGCTCTTATTTCAAAGTATTTAACTCGACAGGCTAATTAAACGTGTGGCATCATATATTTGTATACGTTGGGATGGAAAGCGTTGTGGTTGATTTTAACCACAACGCCAAAACGCTTTACCTCAACAGATAAAACACATTAACACTTGTCATTTTGTGGCTTAAAGATACCCATGTGTGCCATAATTGGAGAAGCATAATAAAGGTGAAATAATTTCGTGTTTGCAGATCAATTCGGAACTGAAATTTGGCTTACCAGCTATGATCTCCTGCGGCTCCGGGGCTCCGACTGCGCATGCGTGTGCTCCCAGTACAGTCACCGCTCTTTGGCTGTAATGTATCGCCAAAAGACTTCTAGTGCTACCGCTCCACTTTAGATGTGGAAATAATGTAGTGGACTATCGATTAGTCTGGACATCGGAACACTGTTGTTTTTAATTCGTATTTTAAAGACACAGCTTTCGCTTCCGTCTACAACACATTGATCCTGTTCATTTTTCTAGAAAGGGCCGCCCCTTAATGAAAGAGCATTTATTATATAATTAGCAGGATATAGGTCATGTCGATACTGCAGTCAAGGTTTCTGTAATCCTGACACAAAGCAACACCACACGGCAACATTTTTCATTAAGATGTTTAATTGAACATACAATAAAAAAGGACATTTTCCTGTTAGATCTCAATCGCATGGAGAAAAAATATGAATTATTTCCACAAGATGGAGAGAAAGGGGTGCATTCAGTTAGTCTGATGGTGACAGACCCTCCAGAGATTTAAATGTTGTACCTTACAAGTACAAAAACTCCAGTACAAACTACACTTTAAATAAGCAGAAGCTCAACAAAACCCTTAACCCCTGGATTAAACTCGCAGAAAAAAAAAAAAGACGAAATACAAAGTGATGGGTTCTTTATCAAGGCTGCATTCAGAACAAAGCAGGAAATGCAAGAAACACGGGACTTGCATTTGAGGCCTTGAGGCTCTAGGTTAACAGAAATCCGAAAAGTAAAAGGGTCTTCCAAAGATTACCTGCTCACGGTTACAAAAAAATCCAAACATTGGTAGCCACAAAAAGGAAGCAATCAGTTTCCAATGCTGATTACACGGTCTATGTACACGAGGTTAAAAGGGATAATAGTCCACCTACAATGCAAGTTGTTCAAACATGAAATACAAACCCATTAACTTGTAGATGCAGTTCTGCAGTGAAAGTTCTTGCATCCCGAGTGTGCATTTTAGAGTGCCGCAAGATGATTCCTTGAAAAAGCAATTATCGAGACTGAAAACAGGGAAACCATGCTCCAACATTGTGGCCAAATTCTACTTTTCTCCCATAACCATGCAGTTTGAATGAGCATTAACAAAACTGAGACACCTACAATTATAGAGAATGGTTTTGGAGAACGGTTGCAAAAGAAGATACGCAATTATGATACTAGCAACTTAATTTCAGGTGAGCTATAAACACTTGGATTAAAACAGGCTGGTGTGACAAACCTTAAGTTAACCAATCAAGTTGAATTTTTTGGGACACTGATTTGAACCATCTCAGACTGCAGCTCTTCAGTTTAAAGACTGGCACTTAAATTTCTGAAAACCAAAATGGTGACAACCCAAACGTAGCTCTGTCATATTGGGGCATCCTCTGATAAAACTGCATCTAAAAAGGTGATTGAGTTTAGGTGCTAACTTGAGGGAGAAAAGTAGACATGCCAGGAAACATAAGCCAGTATGACGACACTGCTCGTTATGTACAGCATAGGGATCAAACTTAACGATGAGACAAACACCTCCCTTTTCCACTAATCCTGAGAAGCTGATCTAGACCGTGAGCGAGACCTTGAGCGGGAGGCTGAATGCTTCTCCCTCGACTTGGATCTGAGATCATCCTCGTGTGGGGATGGGGAGCGTGAGGGAAATTTGGCGACATGCTCTTCCTTCCCGTTCTCCATTGGGGAAGCTGAACGACTGCGGGACTTCTTCTCACCAGACATCTCCTTGGATCGACTGCGAGAATCACGCTCCGACTTTACCTTTGAACGACTCTTTGAGCGGGATTTCGATTTCCGGTCTGCTGAATGGGACCGTGATTTGCGGGAGCGTGAACGAGACTTAGATTTGTGGGATCCAGAACGGGACCTGCGGTTGCGGGATCGTGATTTGCTTTCTCCTGACTTGGAGCGAGACTTCCTTCCAGATCTGGAGCGGGAATGGTGGCGTCTCTTGTTGCTACGGGAACGAGACCTGTAAGGATTTAAAGAAAAATTTACTTCATACTTAGCAAGACTTTGCTAACTGACAAGAAGTTCATTGGTTCACAAGACCCAATACATGACCCCTATACCTCAGTTATCCATGTTTAACTAGATCTTTAATCTGTGTTTTAATCTTAATGTTTTTTTTCTTTTACATTAGACACATTCTCACCTAGAGTGGGACCTGGAGCGACTCCTGGAGCTACTGCTTCTGTGGCTCCTGCGGCTCCTGCTGCGGGAGCGGCGGCGACTACGAGATCTAAGGATGAAAGTACAAAGTCAAAAAATACAACCAAATCCTTTGTAAGATATCAGGGTTACAAATTTGTTAGCAACACTGACTCAGAGAAGCTTAACATGTTTTTTTTTTTTTTAAACAAAGAGACTAAAGTATCAAAGAGCTTATTAATTGTCCCCACCTGGAGCGGCTGCCAGAGTATGACCTTCGTTTGCGAGGTCGGTCCTCCACCAGACGAATCTTCCGTCCATTAATGTCTGTACCATCCAGCTTGTCGATGGCTCTCTTCATGTCCGAGTGGGACCGAAACTCAATCACACCCTCATTGGTGCGTTCCTTGTGGGCATCTGCGTAGGTCACCTCTCCTGCCTGACGCATGAAGTCCTGTGGGACACAGGAAAAATAAGGAGAAAAACAATAAAATATGCTGACAATCTCATTCTGTCTTGATGGTTTAGGTGCAAATTACATTGATAAAACAATTCACCACAGTGCACCCAACTAAGGAAAACTTATAATGTTCGAACGTCTACCTTAAGGTCCTGCCAACTGCAGCGGCTGGACAAATTCTCCACAATGAGACGGTACTCAGTACGGACAGGAGGTCCATACTTATCCCTGCCAGAGCGGCTCCGGCTGCTGTAACCGCTACCTTTAAAAACAACAGCACATGAAAAAAGTTAGAAAGGACAAACATTGCTGTGACACAAAGAACTACTGGCCTGGGTTATCACATGAACACAAGGCAATGACTTGCCAGATAAAAGTCCAAGGGGGTATAATTTGAACTTAATAATGAAAGGAGTCCCTCTGATCCCATTTTCTAAAAAAGCTTCAGATAAGTGATCTACAGGCCACTGCACGGGCTCTTTGAATTGTTCAGCATTTTGATGTTGTGCTCTGCTGCAAAGAACACCACTGCATCTGTTTCCGGCAATACAAAGCCTGTCTTACTCCGGTACATCACACTGTGATGCCTTAGCCGCGTAAACAAATTAACAGTGATGTTCTTTCAAGACCTCCGAACCCTGTAACACAAACAGAAAGGAGGTATCCACATAGGTTGCGGTCAAGGACACTGTTCGATCAAATTGAAAAAGAACGGTGTGAAGAAACACATACACCAATCTTTTTGTATTGGACCTGATGTGGGTCTGAAATTTTGTTTACCAGTTTTCTCACTTACAACATTTCTTTTGATTGTAAGGTCTTTACTTGAGCCGCTCCACTTATGTTTTCTGTCAACATAAAAACCAATGGCAATCCTCACCATCACCCCTGGTCTATTGGCAAAAGGCTGCTGTCATCATGGCTTCCGGTTAGGTCAGCCAAGGATCAAGGGGGGGCAAAGGTCACACACACATTGTAAGGTGAAAGCCAAGGCCAAACGGGACAGGCAGTCATCTTAGCCAGTCATCTTTAGCCTCAATGGACTCTCAGCCTCAGCCCGCAACTGGACTCTTTCAAATTGAAACATCAAGGACTTTTGTTAATGTTGAATATAAAAATATATACCAAAGTTAAAAATACACATTTCACATGAAAATGTTAGTCTAGTCCTAATGATTAAGCTAAAACTATACTAGCTGGTTTGAAGTCATTATTTGTGATTAGCTTCCTTATATGGTGCAAACAATAAATTTGGAAATTCAAGCCTTCAAAATATGGCACACCAAAATAATTATCATCCAAGAGAAATTGCAATCCGCAATAAGAAAGTCTCGCTTTCAAACTTCAGCCTGCGTTCTGCTAATAGCGGGCTCTGACTTGCATATTGTTGTTCCATCCCAATAATGAACCACAGGCCAATTAAGTGTGGCTCATGATCATTAGGGAGGAGCAAAAAACAGCAGGTCACCAACCCTTGATGGCAGAAAATGAGAACTGTTTAGCAGGATGAAACCGAACACACAAGACATACATTAAACTGCCTGAGCAAGAAGAATGTAGCTCAGGAACTTCTCCCTGCCAGCATACATACAGCTACATAATTTAATACATAGTATCATGGTACCAATGTAGATAATGTTATAGCAACTTTGAAAGTCTGCATGCAATCTGAGCAATAGTGTAATTACAGCCACGCAACACTCGTGGGATTCAAAACTTATTGTACCGCGAGAGTGTACCTGAAAATAAAAGGTCACCTTAAATAGTCATATATCTGCAAACTTATGCTGAATGTATGTTAATTATCGCCAGTATGAAACAACAAAAACAGCTCTCTGTGCAGTCCACATCGACACCTCACCCCAAGGGGAAGGGGAAGAGAGGGTATCTTGCAATAGACTGCACTTACTGCGCCCACCACCCCAGTAACCCCCACCGTAGCCATCTCGGTCTCGCCGCGGCCCCCGGGCATGTTCGACGATCACCCGCTCCCCGCACAGCTCCTTCCCGTTCAGCTCGTACACTGCATCGTCGGCGTCCCGGTTATCCTCGAACTCCACGAAGCCATAGCTAGAAGTGAAAGACAGAGTTAGCATGAAAAATCTCACACTAGTAACAACAAAGTCACATCCACGACATGTGTGTATATATAGAACTAGCTAGCTAGTTATGGTTAGCAGGGCCAGCTAGCTCAGCGCTAAGCAAACACAAAGACGCCATGTTGGCCATGCGACATTATGCTGCACGAGCAAGACTAGAAGTTAAGAATTCAAACTATAAACTTGCGTTACTTCTTATATAAAAGCAAATAAAACTCACGGGATTAATTTTACAAGTTTATTTAAAAGTCCATACAACAATATACGTGATGTATAACGTTAAAGTGTTAAATGTTCCGTTAGCAGCGCTGACGTCGTTGACATGAAATGCTAATGTTAAAGGTAGCTAAGAAATGCTAGCTAACCCGTTTCCTCCAACAACTTACCCGTTTTTCAGATCGATTTCCATGAGCTTCCCATATCCGCTGAAAAATCGCTGAATGTCTTTTTCGCGGACATGATAGCTCAGTCGTCCAATATAAACACGCGGCATGGTTTTTCGCCTTACGTTGTTCTAGACTATTCTTCACGACTGCTCGTTACCAAGCGAGTGGCTGCCGTTGGGGTGCTGCGGCTTCTCCTCCGACAAACCGTCCAACCAGCCAATCAACGCGAAGATAACACTGAGACATTTCCGGTACCATACTTCAAATTAAAAAAAATAATAATAATAATAAAATAATAGAAATAATGCATAATTCTTTTTTGATAAGCAAATATGCATACATTAATATTATATCGACACAGAACTCTGCATACAGAGAAAAAATAAAATAAAATGAAAAATCTTTAGAAAAATGATGTAAAAGGTATGATATATCCACAATAATGTATAATCGGTTCATAATATGGAATTTATCAAACACAAAGGTCGTTTTTATTGGTCGTTTTATGAATATACATATATTTTTCCACCTAATTATTTTCAAAACATGTGAAACTGTCTTTAAACTGAATTGCTTGCTCAGTCTTTCTCCATATACGAAGTTGAACATCCAGCCAAAATATTGTGGTATACATACAGTGATAAAACAAATGGCAGATTGTCCTTGTTTTTTTTCCAAAGAAAATAGAAAAATATTCAATATCAAGTTCAAATTTCTCCATTGTCTTTTATACTGGACGTAAGATGCAAGATGCAATAGAAACCTCTACCTTTATTATTAAGACAGAATTTCTCCCAAACTAACCACATTTTCTGCCAATATTAATTTCATCATCAAGTGAAGCCCAGGAGAATCTTACTGGGGGGAAATATGTTACTTTAACAAGCCCTGGAGTCCATTAAAACAATTTAATAATAAAATGTTGACTATTTACAATCTCTGAGATAGGTACGGTTTCAGTGGACCTCACAAACTGCTAGTTTTAGTACTTTAATATGGCCTTGAGTTGAATACATATTGTATGATCTTAGTGCTTTGCATGTAAAATCTGATCCAGCAAAGTGATCAAGTCATGGGCAGATCATGAGACAATGGGCCCCTAGGTAGAGATATGTAAAGGGCCCCACCACCTCTCCTACACAAGAACAAGGCAAGACTTTGTGGTGGTTTTGCCTCTTCTTTGTTGTTTTCTGTCTGTTTGTAGTTGTTAATAATCTGTTTTGTAGTTCTGTATCTTTCTTTGTGGTCATTTTGATCTCCTGCTGGTCACTACATGTTAATTTTAATGGCTTGACAGGTGAAAGCCAGCCCCACCCTGGGCCCCTGGGCTTCTGCCTGATAGGCCCATTCAGTAATTCATCCAACAAACTGTCTCCAGTCACTACAGTTAGATTTGAGGCAATTAACTTTAAAATAAGATTGAATATCTAACAAGTGACATATAAGCATATGAATGTAGCTTTTTCTGTACAAAACAAATTGTGTCGACATGGATGTAAGCACAGAGTGAAAAACAGTAATGGAGAGAGAGAGAGTAGAATATTTTATTTTTGTAAAAACCAGGTTTTTAAAACAATTCAAGCCAGACCTTCTTATCTACATTCTTCTCAAACATGAGCAGAGCCAATAATATGTAGAACATGTAGCATCCATGATCATTGGACTGAATGGGGTCATAGTCTAGCTACCTTGTGTTGTAAATGTCTACAACCACAGCTGAAAATAAAGACCTGTTAGAGGAGACTGATCTGAGGAGCCAGCTCAGAGGCTGTTTTTAGGGGGAAGCATTTAGGGTGTTTGTGTTAGGGGAGTGTCATGAGCTCTTCTCGACAAAATGACTTTTATTCATTTTCAGATCAAATCTCCGTTGTTTGATAAAATGTGTTGGTCTCTGCTTCAAAGGTCAAAGGAAGAAATAACGAAATACACAACTGCTCATCAATGCCACAAAAGCACTCATAAACACACTGTATAATTTATATCTGTCTCACACACAACCTCTCTATTAAAGTCTTCAATGAGAAGGTGCTCTTCACTTTATCAACCCCTAGTTGTTTGACTTTAAGGTCAACTCCTGATAAAAGGTGGTTGAAAACAGGTCTGTAACTGAGCCCTTCACAGACTAGTTAGAGTGACAAATCTTCCTCTGAGGACTCCCGCCTGGTGATGTTGATTTCTATCTTTGAAAAGCTAGAGTAGAAAATTCTGAACTGGCAGTTTTTGGGATGTAGGGCCAGACCAGAAACACAACCTTGGGTTTAAGCGATGTGGAAATTAGGAATAAGCAGGTGACCACAGGAGCCACATGGCTACAGTTACCAGAGAATTTACGCTCTGTCATCGCAGATCAACATAGCTTAATATAATTTGGCTGGTTGCATGGAGAGGTGTATTCCTTATCCAAAGATATATTCATGTCTGGTGTATGTAGAGAGGGAGAGAAAAGAATGAGAAAGCCATGTTAAATCAGGGTTTTCTTGCAGGAATCAAGAATCACAGCAAATGAAAAAAAAAAAAAAACCTGGGAGGTGGAGGGTTCATCAGCCAGACAACAAATCAAATGCATCCAACAGTGTGTGTGTGTGGGGTACACATCATCTGTGTGCGGTGCCTGAACCCCATCTGTCAGCTTTAGATACTCTCTCACTCCCTGCCTGGTCAGGCCACGACACAACTAAACAACAGCCAAACCCTCCCGCAGTTCGATTCAGAGAGTCCTTTTAGCAAATCATGGGGGCGTCCGACCCCAGCTTCGGCCCTTCTCAGGGGGAAAGGGGGAGGCCGAGAGAGGAGGGGGAGCCCAGTTTCGGTGGTCTTTAGTTGGCTTTGGCGCGAAGCTGCGCCCTCTTGCCCGTCACAGCCTGGAAACCGGTCTTGATGCTGGCAACGGAGCAGCGGGAGTGGCACGTTTCACACTGCAGGAAATAGAGGCGAGTGTCCTTCTGCAGGATGGTCTCTGGGGAGCGGCAGGTGTGACATGTCACGTATTCCTCTGCGGGGGTGAGAAGATGGTTATTAGCACTGTTCTTGGTAAGGAAGTACAGGCAAGGTGTGCAAATCATAAATTAAATAATGTAGGCAGAGTTGATTAAGAGACCACTGTCAGAGTCCTGGTGGACAAGTAACATTTAAGAATAAATGAATGACATTAACTAGACTTTGATCAACTGTTTATATCTATTTCCTTCTTGTGACTTCCACCTCAACTTTGTGGGAGCTGCCACTTAATATTTGCATAATTTTATTATTCAAGACTTATTGCCAAGATTCCTCCAAATAAAAAAGATATAATAATACCCGATACCTGTAGTCAGGTTTCCCACACATTATTACGATTCATTTTCAAAGCACTTCCATAACTTTCCAATAATGTTTTACCCCATTACACAACTTTATTTAAGTACTTAACAATGGGTAGGCTTATATAGCAAGACAGCCATACGCTACTAAACACACACACCTCAGGTATTTGCGAATAAGTAAACGAGTAGCGCTTGCTAACTTGACCTGCTTGTTAGACATTTCCACAGCAAGCTGTATCTAGAAATTTACAGATGTCTGGATCCTGGTGATTCAATCACATATGTGTATTTGAATGAATCACAACTAATCATCAGAAGACTAAATGTTGTCTGTAAATAACCAAAATGTTAACAGCCAACTGGTTCATCTAGGCTGGGCTAAGATTTAGTTTGAGACGAGCAGCCTCCCACTCAAGCTAGTGTTAGCTAACCATCAGTAGTAGCTGTCAGCAGCATCATTTAGTGATTCACCACACTGACAGTGAATATTCACAGATCTTACATGGCACAAATCTAAGTGTGAAAGCTGTGATTATCTAGCTAAACAACAGCTTGTCAGCACTTTCTTGTTTTTCTGCCCATGTAACAGCACGTTTCTTTCTCCTAAAAGGGGATGAAGCCTCTACGATGACATATTGCTGGTCTGGATTATGTGTATCAAGTCACAATGTTTCAACAGTCATGCAGCACTAGATTTTAAATTGGTAATACAAGGAACATATTTCACGCAACATCATGTTTTAGGATTTTTATGAACGTATTTTAAGCCAAAACAATGTATATTTAAAAAACCTTTTCCAAAACTGGAACTTTTTTTTAAGTTCAAAACTTTTACAGGAATTTCATGACCAAACAAACCCTGTGTAGTGGTTGTAAGGGCCCTTTCTTTGTGAATGGGATAAATCATAAATCATTCTTGTATTATACTCATAAACTAAAGCTGAATACAGACAATGAGTGAGTATGATGAAAAAAAGACTAAAAAAAACGATAGTGGTTATTCAAAAAGAATCAAATTGGATTTGTATTTACTATAATTAATAAATAATTACTAGGTTTATTTGTTACTTACTGATATATCTTCTCAACACATTTTCTATCTGTTTCTGTTGAAATCTGCCTTTGATCACAAGCTGGTTATTTCCGTCTATGGAACCACTGTGAGGAGAAAACAGGAACACAAAAAATTTAAACTTACATAACAAAGCACACAGAAATATTCCCATTCAGTTTAGAAACTAGTGCCTAAAACTGACACAAAATCTAATTATTATATATTCATAAATGTCTTGATTGTAAATACTAAATCTTACCTTGTTCCCAGCTCAGCCAACAGGAAAGCGAGGAGATGTTTAGGCTGACGATGCAACCTGTGATGAAGTACATAAAAGGTCAGTTCTTAGTACTTTTAAAATGGAGTACTAGTGTGAATTGGGACTGGCAGTAACAGTGTGAGACGTGTGTACAAAGAGGGAGGCTCACAGTTTGCAGATATCTGTGAAGTTGACGAAGGAGGTTTTCTTGGTTCCCACTCGAACCACCTGAGGAGGCTTCATCACAAACTTCCTCTTCTCACCAGCCACCATGTCAGGGTTCTTCTCTCTCATGATGTTGAAGACTCGGTTCAGGAGCTGAGACGGAGAAGGTGCAAAGAGTAAAGCCAACTGTGGACCAGGATTTGAGTCTTGACCACCATTTTCATTATTTGGTTTCACTCCTGTTTGTACCATCTGAGGAATGTTGCTAAAGTCAAGACCACTGTGTCCCTAGCTGAGTGGGAGATGATTATTCATGCGCTTATTTCTTTCAGTCTTGACTAATGCAGTTCTGTTTTCACCTGCCTTGGCAAGACTCCACTAAATCACCTACAAGTGGCCCAAAATGCTGCTG